GGTAGAGGTGTATATTGATTAATAGTTCCCCAGTATTCATCTTTACACCTGAACAATTTAATTTAATAAACTTGAAGTAGCTCATAGACATACCTGCTGCAATGACAGGCTCCTTCATAAGCTCCCTAGTTATAGGACATAAGAATTCATCAGGAATACCAAGAGAAACAGAATCCACATTGCTCCTCAGCTCCTCAATCTTCCGGAAGACTTTACTGCGTAAACCTAGAGATTCTGAAAAGGGATGGTAGATTAGAATCCTTGGAACATATTTCAAGAACATTAACCTCTGAAACACAAACACATTATCAGGCAGAGAGATTGCTTCTGGTGCAAACTGGAAGACATTTCAGGAGCTCTGTAAATACATCGTTTCTAACTTTTTCCTCATGGTTGACAGAGACCAATTAACAGGTTTTTTAAGGCAAAAAAGGCTATCTACATTATATACCACGTAGTGTTCAAAAATAGATTGAACAAAACTTGTTTCCCAGAGTATTTTAAAACGTCACCTACTTTCCTAATCTAGACAGAGTATCGGGTTAACCTTGATCAACTGACGGCTGATGTTAAACATGACAGTCTAAAGTGCTACATCATGTTTAACATAGCATGAGTTAACATGTTTAACATGATTCTAGTGTAGACAAGCCCATGGCTGAAGTCACGCACTGGACTGCATTACGGCTATGTCTACACTGCAGCTAGGAGCACTGCCAGGGTAGACAGACTTGCACTAGCTCGGTTTGAGCTAGTGCACTAAAAACAGCAGTGTGGACATTGTGGCTCAGGTTCTCAAACCCAGCGAACCCTCTGGATCTGAGCTATCCTGTATATTCACTGGAGCTGCAAGATCCACAGTGCTATTTTTAGTGAACTAGCTTGAGCTGAGGCTAGTGCAAGTCTGTCTACTTGGGCTGGGAAGTTTGCTCCCAGATGCAGTGTAGACATACCCTTTGACGAATTAGGTGAGCCTGGGTAGGGTTAATCCCATCCCCCTTTATGCAGCTGCTTTGCAACAGGAAGGAACCTCTGACAGTTTGACGGGAGCTGGCTCTTTGCTAGTCCCTGTCAGAATAAAGGAGTGCTTGTCTCTTATAAGATTCCCTTAATGACCATCTGCGTGATTACTGTTGGAGGAGTCCTTTAAACTAGACCCTCAACTGTTTCTATGGAGTTTAATACATACATATAATTAACAGATTTGCTATAATAGCCTCGTTTTCAGGTTGTTTCATCTTTTTGCCTTTCTGTCAGAATTCACAGACATCTGCAACGGCACCAAAACGGGATATCCCCCAAATCAGAACAAGACAAATTAATTAAATACTCTAGGTTTAAGTACTGTTGCATAAATACAGCATTTTCTTCTCAGGATTTCACATACTGTCATTTCCAAAATCCACTTTATTCCCATTCAGGCCTTTATAAAGACTTTTTCTCCTTTAATCATTTCCTCTCAGGAAACAGAGTGGCCACTTTGACTCCTGCCATGTGTGATTTGCCGCTGTGGCGTCTGCTAGGTGAAGCAGTATGACCAACCTTGCTCCTCCTGGTCTAAGATGATATCTGTTACTGTCAAAACTAGGGCTGTGAATTAATTGCAGTTAACTCACGCAATTAACTTAAAAAAATTAATCGTGATTAAAAAAATTAATACCAATTAAAATTTGTTATAAAATTTTGGATGTTTTTCTACATTTTCAAATATATTGATTTCAATTACAACACCGAATACAAAGTGTACATTGCTCACTTTATATTATTTTTGATTACAAGTATTTGCATTGTAAAAATGATAAACAAAAGAAACAGTATTTTTCAATTCACCTCATACAGGTACTGTAGTGTAATCTCTTTATCATGAAAGTGCAACTTACAAATGTAGATTTTGTTTTTAACACAACTGCATTCAAAAATAAAACAAGGCAAAACTTTAGAGCCTACAAGTCCACTCAGTTCTACTTCTCATTCAGCCAATCGCTAAGGCAAACAAGTTTGTTTACCTTTACAGGAGATAGTGCTGCCCACTTCTTATTTAAAATGTCACCAGAAAGTGAGAACAGGAGTTTGCATGGGACTTTTGTAGCCGGCACTGCAAGGTATTTACGTGCCAGATATGCTAAACATTCGTATGCCCCATCATGCTTTGGCCACCATTCCAGAGGACATGCTTCCATGCTGATGACACTCGTTAAAAAAAATATGCGTTAATTAAATTTGTGACTGAACTCCTTGGGGGAGAATTTTATGTCTCCAGCTCTATTTTACCTGCATTCTGTCATATATTTCACGTTATGGTAATCTCGGATGATGACTCAGCACATGTTCATTTTAAGAACACTTTCACAGCAGATCTGACAAAACGCAAAGAAGGTACCAATGTGAGATTTCTAAAGATAGCTACAGCACTCAACCCAAGATTTAAGAATCTGAAGTGCCTTCCAAAATCTGAGAGGGATGAGGTGTGGAGCTTGCTTTCAGAAGTCTTAAAAGAGCAACACTCAGATGCGGAAACTACAGAACCCAAACTAAGAAAAAAGAAAATCAACCTTCTGCTGGTGGCATTTGACTCAGATAATGAAAATGAACATGCATCGGTCCGCACTGCTTTGGATGGTTATTGAGCAGAACCCATCATCAGCATGAACGCATGTCCTCTGGAATGGTGACTGAAGCATGAAGGGACATATGAATCTTTAGCGCATCTGGCATGTAAATATCTTGCGACACTGGCTACAATAGTGCCATGCGAACACCTGTTCTCACTTTCAGGTGACACTGTGAACAAGAAGTGGGCAGCATTATCTCCTGCAAATGTCAACAAATTTGTTTGTCTGACCAATTGGCTGAACAAGAAATAGGACTGAGTGGACTTGTAAAACTTTACAGCCTACATTGTTCTATTTTTGAATGCAGTTTTTTTTATTTTTTACATAATTTTACATTTGTAAGTTCAACTTTCATGATAAAGAGATTGCACTACAGTATTTGTATAAGGTGAATTGAAAAATGCTATTTCTTTTATTTTTTACAGTGCAAATATTTGTAATGAAAAATAAATAAAAAGGGAGCACTGTACACTTTGTATTGTGTTGTAATTGAAATCAATATATTTGAAAATGTAGAAAAACATCCAAAAATATTTAAATAAATGGTATTCTATTATTGTTTAACAGTGCGATTAATCGCGCGATTAATTTTTTTAAATTACTTGACAGCGTTAGTCACAACTTTTTCAGTCTCAGTTTCCACAGCTGTGCTCTCAGTTTCTGGGGTTGGCCATGATGATATTCTGTCTCCCTTAGATGATCTCTATGGATAACATTGGTCTTTGTCCTGGGATACAACTAAATTCTATATTCCACATCATTTATTTGTGTAATAATTGTATGGGACCCATCCCAAGGTTTATTCAGCTTAGGACAAGAGAAGGAGGCCTCTCCCATGTGATCTTACATCATAAAGGGTAAAATTTTCAAAAGCACTTAATGTGACTTAGGTGCCTAAATCTCATTTTCAAAACAGACAGACACTTACAGACTGATTTTCATGGCTGGGAGTTAGGCGCTTTAGAAAATCTTATTAGGCACCTATATACCTGGGAAACCCTTAGCTGAAGTCATCTGCCCTGAAGCGCATGTGATAAGTTAGGTGGACTTAGGCATTAGCTTTCCTTTTGTGCAGCAGCTCTTCAACACAAAAGAACCACAGACAGTGCCACCTCTTCTGCTGGCCTCTCCTTGGACAAAAAAAGAGAGCTTAATCCCTTTAATAACCATGCAGGTAGAGTCACTGTATGGGGTTCTTAAAACTAGCCCTCTCCCCACCCATGGTTAACTCTTTTTATAGAGATTCATATTGAGTATGTATACAGCGATTCATATGATGTATTTCATTAACACCTAAGATTTTCTATTAGCAGTAGTAGTACTATTGTAAAGCCTAGGAGCCCCAGTCATGAACTAGGACCCATTGTGCTAGGTACTGTACAAACAGAACAAAAAGACAGTCCCTGCTCTGAAGAGCTTACAATCTAAATATAAGACAAGAGACAACGGATGGATATAGTCTGTCAGGGAAGTACAAGGAAACAATGAGAATAATGGCAAGCATGACAGGCAATGGTTTCAGCACACCAGCGGCCTAAGCATTGTTTTGACAGAGGATATTGAGTACATTTTGCTGATATTTATGGAGAGCTTCTCCCAAGCGCAAGGGGCAGCATGGAAGAAAGCACAAAGGAACCTATTTGAACATTTTACAAATGGGCGATGGCATCCTGGGCCAGTTTGAGATGGGAGTCAACCTATACTACTGAATGCTAAATAAAAGGAACCAAGCATTACTTATAAAAGAGATAATACAGGAAAGTAGAAACAATTGTATTTATTTTCATGTTTGGCTGAGAGTCAGTTTATTCTCCTTCTGATTTAGAAGGAAAGAAAACTAATATAGTGATCCGGGTCTTTGCAAACTAGCACAGAACTGCAGTATTGTTGTTATACTACATAAAGTACTACATTAAAATTGCATATACTTAGTCCCACTACCAGAACAAAACAGGCTTCATGTAGAAATCTTAGTGAATGAACCAAGAGTATCAAATATATATTTGATTTAAACCAAAGAAAAGTAGTACCCACAAGGAAAATAATTCTGACAGTATACATGCAGCCTCCTTCCACAGACGAAACACCACTTTATATGAAAAATTAAGCACAATTCAGACAATTAACTCTTTTTTCATAAATGTATGATCAAAATGTATATTCGTTTAGTCATAGTTGTCCTTTTCTAGTGAAGCACAGTTACAAACTTTGACACATAATTAGTGCCTGCAATTGGGATTTCTAAATTACATGAATACATTACTGCAAATTCTCTGCCTGGTTCATATACTGCTTGCTCTACTAAGACGGAAAGTAGAACAGCTCACTGGATGCAACTGCAAAATCTAACCCTCCCCACAAAAATCTCTCTCCCCCACCCCCATAAATAACTGCTATTCACCACTATGAAAAAGGGAGGGCCTTAGACTTTTGGGAACGGTTGATTAAATTTTTTTTCAGGGATCCCTAGATTTAATTGACTCCTTTTATATAAAGATGGTATGTGGGAATTTTAAGTCATCACCAGCCTCCTGCTGCAGAAGTGGAGCCCATCTGTTTGAGTCTGGGTCCACGCATAACTGCCAAACAGTGGGATATTTTTCAAGGGACAGTTCTCTAACA